GATGGTGCCAACTTGGGCCAGTGAAGCAGTGTCCTCCACAACTAGATTGAAGAACAAAACGACAGCAACTTGTCTGTTCCCCTTCCCCTAATTCCCCAGTACTGTTCCCATCCCCCCAATTACCCAATAAAAATCTTTAAAAAAAATATTTTTTTTCTCTTATCTTTATAGTATATGTGCGTATAAGGGAGGCTCTAGGAGGAAAACTGGAAGAGAGAAGGTTTTGTGGGGTGTTTTTGTTTATGGATTTATGTTTTGGAATTAATGGAAGACACCTTCTATTCTATTATTGCTATAACAGTAAAGAAGGTAAGAGGAAGCAGAGGAACAACAGTAGGCTTAGCGTCAAAATCCCAGCTCCTGCCCTTGCCTTCTTTATAATCTTGAGCAAGTTTCTCAGTCTCATCTCTAAAAAGGAAACATAATAGCTATGAGGACCTTTGTGTGTAGTAAGTGAGATGACAGACCTGGCGCATCAGGGTTTCATCAAAGTTAGCTGAATGTAGGTTGAATAAAAGTGTCTGTGCAATGACTTCTCCTTCCAATCTGGTAGAAGAGATTGCAGTCCTAGTTACAATGGACTCCATTCACCTCAGCAGTTAGATATGACATGGTCACTACTGTGTACAGGTAAATAGGGGTCCTCCAACAACAAATCATACTGCTTCCAGATCCCCTCTGTGGGTTTGTGTTTTCTGCTTTTATTGGCCAGAATGTGGTGTGCGAGACGAAGGGATGGGCCACCTGCCAAAGGAGAAGGAATGTAGTTTCGGCTTCAGGGAACGCTGGGAAGAGGGAACTTAACGTCTCGCTCTAAGATCAGCAGTAAGTCTTTGGCCTCACATTCATTGTAATATGAATCTTGAAGATCATTTTAATGTGATCTTTTAAAAGTTTCACAGAAATATGGAATACTAGAAATACAAAGGGTTTTCAGTTCAAGGTGGTTTGACTGACCACGTATTTATCTCTTCTCCCTTTCAAAATGTTGCTAAACAATAAAAGGAAATTTTGTGGGGGTTTTTTTAATGAAGCCAATAAGACAGGAGCTGCCCATGCATGAGAGATTTCAAAAGATTTCTGGGAAACAAAAATAGATGGAGGAGTGCTGACTGAAGAAGTAGGATGGGGAAACCTAGGTCCCCAGTGAGGGTGGAAGGGGTTGTAGGAACAGGGAATGGATTGGTCCTTTTTTTTTTTTTTTTTTAATCAGTCGCTGGGCTTCTGGACGGCCGCTCACGCTGGCTGCTGGCTACATACGGTAGCCCATGGCAACCCACTGCCACAGGGGCTGCAGCCTA